CTATGAGTCGCAAGCGACTCAACGGCACATAACAACAACATATGTAAAATGGTCTTCTTGAATGTAGAAATCCTGTAACTTTAACTAACAAAAGTCTAACCCAAGTATAAAACCTCATGACTACTCCCAGATTGGGAGGCAAGTTCTTGAGAAGCTTCTGACTGCCCTCCCAGATCTGCAGTAAAGTGCTTTGGCTATTACAATTGTCTTTCTTATTGGCAATTGAACCCCTTGCATTCAGTAACACTCTCAGAGTAGTTGAGGAAGTTCATATTGTCTGTCCATTAGTCTTTTGGACACTTTTGTACTCTTCCTTGTGTCTTAGTTTCTTCACTCTTTGCACCAAAGATAGACCATAAGCTGTATAGCTGTTCACCTGCTTTTAAGACTCCAATCTTACTCACTTTTAATGATTTATGTTACCTTTCACCTAGATGTCCTCTGAGACAATGATCCCATTTCCCCAGTTTCAGTGACTCATTCTCACAGTGTTTGGTTATGACTTGTTATCTGTGGAGGAAGAATGTAGCAGTTGCCCCCAGTCTGGTCATTCCTTGAGAAACCTGATAACATCTAAGGTGACTGGAGCAGAGACCAAAGCAAAGACCAGGCCAAAAACCAGACCAAAGACCAAACCAGACAATGGATCCTAACAAGGCTCTGGGCCTGATCACAAAAGCACAAATCCATGTTAATTAACAACCTCAGATTCCAAGCAAAATACCATCTTCCCTAGTCTCCCCTAGAATCCCTATAAAAAGAGGCCACCCTAGATCACTTGCATGCCATTTTGACCTTCTCTGCTCATGGTCACTTGCTATCCCTCTCAGGCCTTGCGATAAATGCCTGTTCTTTCCTTGGGACCAGTTTCTCTCTCTCTCTCTCTCTCTCTCCTTCAACTGTTTTTTCTATCTAACAGTTGCTCATTGAGTCAAAACTGACCCATAGCTTTCCCTCCAGGTGTTTTTCAGAGACAGTAAATCACATGGGAGAAGATTGCCCATCTTTCTCCCACAGAGTTTTAATAATCTCTACTCCCTGAATGCTCTACTATAGATGATAGATAGATAGAGATAGATTTATAGCATATCCACAAACAAGTCTATTTGGTTTTTGCATTTTGTTCTTTTTAAATCTTCACAATCCTATTTTTAATAAGGAAGAAATTATTTTTCTTAATGTAGCTAGAATTTTGTGATATTCTATTTATTAGAAAAAGCCTTAGGGACTTAGTATGAAATCATGCTGTTAGCCCAAAGGCCAAACCTCTGTTTGTTGAGTCTACCAGCAAGAGAAAGACAGACAATGTCTTCCTGTACAATTTACAGTTTTCCAACTCAATGATACCTAGAGGAGAGAAAGAAAATAATTATTTTCAATATTTTTTTGTGTTCTAAAAATTTACATCTAAGTTCTTTATGATTTCAAAGTTGAATAGCTTATCAGTTTAAAATTGTGTGTCTCAAATGCTTATGATTTTTTATATATACAAGTACAGATACTTTCAAATATTTATAATATTGTTATTGAATGCAAGGAATTCTTTCTGTAGTCAACTGCCAATAAGACTGATGGACTGCAATATCCACAACACTTTATTGCGGATCTGGGAGAACAGTGAGAATCATCTCCAAAACTACTTCCCTGTCTAATAGTGGCCATTGATTTTTATACTTGGGTTAGATGTTAATCTGCTTAACATGTTACTTTTGTCAATTAAAGTTACAGGATTTCTATATTAAAAAAGAACAGTTTACATGCAGTTACCACTAAACAGACAATCTGTGAAATAGTTTACATATGATTGAGAAAATACTGTTTTAAAGAGGTAAATGTTAATCCAGGAAAGATACATACCCTCTCCTGATAAACAGGCAGTTTAAAGTATTTTACATGACTAAAGAAAGGGGTGGGGGGTGGGGTGGGCAGAATTCTAGAGCAAATGAACTGGTTTTGCAGGCTGGAGGTAACTGCTGTCAGTTTTATAACTATACTAACTAATATGTTTGGATAATCCTGAATTTATTAGTACCACTCCATCAATATTAAGTACTGGAGTATTCCCTCCACCTCCCCATATTAACAAACTTGTTTTACTGACATTTTTAGGATAAAACTTTTTCTTACATTGAAGTATTTACATGAGGCAGCATGATAGTGAGATGTTAGTGACTCTCCCAAGGGAGGAGGTATCCCCTATGCTGTCAACTAATGCCAAGTTTAGGGAAGGAGACTGTTGGGAAGGAACTGAACACATGGCGCCACTAGGTAGTGTTGTTGTTGTTGTTATGTGCCGTCGAGTCGCCTGCGACTCATAGCGACCCTATGTTCCAGATACGCAGCACCATTTCCAAACCTTAAGCCTGAAATTAAAAATCCAAGCTTCCCAAGTGTTGGGCCATCTTCAGCAGCCATCTCCTTGCTGGGATTGGCTCTACTATTGTCACATGAGTGTGACCCGTGGTCAAGAAACGCTATTCTAGATGAATAAGGGTGCAGCCGTGCTCCTCAATTTGGCAAAGGAACCTGCCTGTGCCAGATTCACTCTTCTGTGTCCTCATCCAGGCAAAACTCCAGTGGCTCCAGAAAGTTCTCAGGCACACTCGACACGGCTTCTTGAGAGAACACACTCCAGGGACGCACTCGCTCCCATGTTGTCCCTTCTGCTAACATAATGGAGCATATTTCTTCACTCAAATAAGAACAGGCAATTCAGGGAGCCTCATTGGCAGCAAATTTGCAAGGAAGAGGACAGGTGACCTGCAGTTAAAGGGTTTTCCTCAGTTGTGTTTCAGTAGGGTTTTTTTTTTCTTCCCCTGACATGGATGTTTTATGTCTTCTGTCTGCTTCTGTCAGCATCCCCATTGGCAGAATATGGTGTCAGAATTAAATTCTAGTTCTATAGAAAGAACAGTGTTCCAATAAGAGAAGTACAGTAACATCTCTAAGAAAAGCCTGGCTTCTTAGCACCCCTAGTTGATTCCCCCCCCCC